CTCCTTGCACTCCTTCTACTCTGACCTTGGTGTCTGTGGCTTGTTTCCCTCAGATATTCTTACTCGCCTCCTTTAGCTGCTGTTGTGCAGCATTTTTTTACACTTTCTTAAATGAGTTATCACAGAGGTGCCACCAGCTTGCCTGATTTGCTCTACTTTGACCTGTGGTGGGTCTGTTTTGGACCTGAGTAGGACTATCTGTCTGATATGGGGACAATTCCTGATCTCTTCTGAGAGAATTCACCCCTGCAGCTATCCCTGCTAGCAAACCTTACCTTGTAAATACAATCAAAACATAAATACTAATCAAATAAAACTGAAGCAAGAGTACACTAAAATGTTTTTCTGAACCAGTGCAGATAGTCAACCTATGAATTCTGGTTCATCCCCAAATATTAAAACTGAGTGTATACTTATATATTGGTATCAGTCAGGTTCTGGAATAGTTTTCATGCTATGCTCATTTGCTATTTTGCAGGATTTACAGTTTCAGGGGAAAAATCAATACAAAATAACTTAAATGCATTTTATTTGACTTATTACAGGTACAATCTATGACAAAGAGAGGGTTTATATTGTTTTCATTAGAATTGGAATTTTTAAATTTGATCTTGTGTTTTGAGAGAAAGGAAAACAACTGCACCTGCAAAGCACAAGTAAGATATGCAGCTACAGGAAACAGTCCAGTGAAGGGGCACTAAGAAGAGTTTGGAGCATCTCTCACATAAGGTTGAAATAGCTGGGCTTGCTTAGCCTGGAGAAGAGAATGCTCACTGAAATCTCAATGTCTATAACCTCCTGATGGGAGGATGTAAAGAAGATGAAACCAAACTCTTTCCAGTGGAGCCCAGTGACAGGACCAGAGGGAACAGGCACAAACTGAGACACAGAATGTTCCTTCTGAACATCAGAAAACGGTGTTTCACTGTGGGGGTGACTGGGCACTAGCTCTGATTGTGGAGTCACCATCTTCTGAGATATTCAAAGATCCTCTGGGCAGCTGCCTCTAGGTGGCCCTGCTTAAGCAGGGGAGTTCAACTACAAGATCTTCAGAGGTTCCTTCCAACCATAATCATTCTGTAGCTCTGTGAACCACACCAACAACCAGAACCATTTGTTCAATTAATTTTCTGCACTCAGATTTAAATTCAAAGTTTCTTAAAAGCAGAAACTGTATATTTGTAGGGAAAATAATACTGAGGAATAATGTTTTTGAATACTCCTGAAAAGAATATTTTTGATCAAAACAAAATTCAGAGGTTTTGAAGATAACTTTGCATAACCACCTTGTGAACTAGCAGGGACAGAAGAGGAAGGCAGCATTAAGACATGAATATCTTCATCTGCGTGTAATCCTTAACGATCTCCAAGTCACTAATATCTAAAACCTGCAATAACCTGTGACTTGCCAGTAAATACATACCTGCTTGTCAGCTTAAAGTTTTGCTTCTACCATTGGTAGAATGTCTAAAATCTTATTTGGCTTTTTTTTTGTTATGTAGACATGCCCTTGCTGCATTTAAGAAAGGAAACCATTTTATGGAAAATATGGTGAAAAGAGTCTTAATTTCATTCAACGGCTCAATAGAGGTTTTCAGGCCATTTAAAGAACTTGTTTAAAGTGTAATAGCTGTGTTTCATTTCCTCACACAGTATGACATTAAATTCTATCTACTGTCACATTTGACAAAACTTTCGGAAATTCTAGATGTGCACAGATTTCATCTTACCAATAGTTTTTGATTAAAGAAATAAAAATATGAATGAAATGGATCTTAACTATTACTTTTGAACTTCTTGCCCATCTGTGGAACGGAGATTGCATCATTTTTCAAAGACTCTTGACACATTTTTAATGACTTATAAATTGGATAAATTGGATTAGCAGTCCTTGGAATAAGAATTAAACAAACAAACAATCATAGCTCCTTACCCATCCCCCACTAAAACATGACTACAATTTCCATTATCAAATTATAATTAACTGTTTAAATATCCTTCTTTCTTCTACCAAAGTGAAACATAAGGATGGTTTCCACATAGGACTTTGTAAAATTAGAGGGAGAAATACACCAGTGTAGCTACATGGTTTCTGAAATGTAATCAGGTTTTCACTGAGTCCTCTGATGAACTCAGGTGCAAAGCGGTAGGCCTTCTAGGCCTGTCTGATCAGTTAATGGAGTGTGATGCAGATGGCAATATAAGGCAGAAATTAGAGGTAGAATATATCCCTGTACCAGCAAACACAGATGTAGATAGTCCTTTATAAAACATTTCTGAGCTGCACAGCTAATTTATGTTTTATTACATCTAAACAAGTCCATTACACTCAGTACAGATAAAATGATACACCTGGAAATAGAATATAGGTATTGCTGCCAGGTGCCTAGTTCTTGAAATTAAAGACAACTGGTGTCATAACTTAGCTTTATTGCTCTACTTTGACTCATCTGGCATTATCAAAACTCCTAGTACTTTTGGTTTAAAATGAGGCATAAAGTATATGGGATTTTAATACAGTGGTTCAGACAATGAAATAAACAACTTCAGAACAGTCCCTCATGAAGGGAAAGTTAACTTCAGTGACTTCTTACATAGTCTAAGGCCAAACATGATATAAACAGTTTTATACACAAAGCAGCTCTTCTGGTTGTAACAAAATATTAGTGGACCCATGACATTGCTTCATACCATTGAGTAGTTGCTTCTGGGAATTCATTTAGAGAATCACATAAAAACATGATAGCATCTATTTGGCATACAAAAAGCAAAAAAATCTTGGGGGAAACAAGAGGTTTTAACATCTGTCCATACTTATCTAATAGCAGACATCTCTTTAAAATGTCTGAAATGCACCTAGTACAGCAGCTGGACTGTAGAGATAAATCATATTAGTCAAAAATGTTATGGTCTGCATGTTCTTTTTCTTGTCTTTTATTTTTTTCTGTAAGCAAAGACAAAATTTTAAACTTACCTTATTGGTATTGATAGCTGTGATGACCCACACACATTGAGCATTGCTGTCATACTGAAATGGAAAATTAGGTGATGTGAAAGTGCCTCCAGGTCCCTGAAGATTGGATCCACAAGTTTTGACTGTAAAAAGAAAGTTTATCTTTCAAGTCACATAGAAAATATATGTAGCAGATTCATAAACCAGTCTCTAACTTACTCTAATCACGATGTGAAGAATTAAAATACCATTGACCAAAAATAGAACCACCTCTTACAAGAGAATCGAACATTCATATTTACTTATTCTGACAGAATAAAATAGACTTTCTCTGGTGTATAAGCTTATAATCTTAAAAAAATATATTTGCAGTAAAAAGAATAGCTACACTATGAGAAACAGTCCTATTTTTAAAACTTCAAGAAGTAACTTATCCACCTTCACTAAGGTCTTGAAAGACTAGTTTAGATAGTAGAACAAAAAGATCACTTTTATCACTGTGCTTTTTTGTGCATATGTATTGGTGTATTGCATGTCAGTATTTTTTTTGCTGTGACCACTGTATAACTCATTGAACCCATGGCTGAAGCACTGAAAACTTTAAAGGAAACTTGTAGAAGTTAGACTTACACAAAACAGTGTTATCTGTTTCTAAAGACTACAAAGGGCATTTATTTATAAATCAAAGTCTATATGGTTATTTACAATAGCATATCTTAAATAAAAACAAGCATATTCTTATTTACTGTAGCTTGCATCTCGCATCACAAATAATACAAAGAATATAAATTGTATCCTTTCTGCTTGCAAATCACACTTTTAAGGCACTAAATTCCTGGTCTGCTGAAGTCAGTAACACTTTTATTGATGGTTCCTTGATATTCAGGTCTTTGCTGAATGTTCTACTGGTTAACTTTTCCTGTATGAAGACGTAGAACTGACAAGCAACCTAACTTTATCCCAGTGATATGTGCAGTGATTATTATGATACCACAAAGAAATTGCACAGGTAAAGAATTATTGCTTCCACTGTATTCTGAAAGACCATCTTGCTTAATTGAGTAAAAAAATCTCACTTAGATATGTGAAATTACCCTTCAGTTGCATTGCACTTTCACAAAGCATGTTTATTTGATCAATACTGAACACAGGAAGATTCAGCTGCTGCTGGATGAAGGCTTGTTCCTTCCCCCACATTAGCCTCTAGAAAGAATGTCACTTTTGCCATCCAACCTGCACCACTTCTACCCCTCAAAGAAGTTATATTCTGGTGAAAACTCTGTTCAAAGACACACCAGAAGCCTGAAAACAAGGAGAGAATATGGAAGTGAGAGGAAGGCTCCTCAGGGATCCATTGAGAAAATGATGAAAAATGCTGGAGGTCCATATGTATACGACTCACGAGGAAGGGCTGACTGAACTGCTGTTGGTTAGTTTAAAGTAGATCAGGTATACTTGAAGTATACAATAAGCCATTGAAAAGACAAATTAAAAACCTGTCCTTATATAGAAGTCCCTATTGAAAGAAGTTGTTTAAGTACAGTAACAAATGTTCACATTTGAATTAGAAAGTCCTCTACTTGCAAGGCTAATGAAGCACTGGAGTGCTTGAGTAAGATGTAAGAGCATTTCCCTTGGAAATACATAATGTTCGACAAACACCTTCTGGGAATAAATACAGCTGGAGCAGTAAGGAAATAGAACTGACCAGTTAGGACCGCTTTTGTCCCTACTTATCTGTGATGCATTACCCGGGTCTATGTGTGTGTGTGCATATACACACATACATGGTTAGTCAGCAAGACATTTAAGAGGTCCAGATACATGGCTGCATTTCAGAGATAAATGAGGTAAAGGTGGATTTTTCAAAAATGTACTATAGGTAAGTAAATGTATTTGTAAAAGCAAGATCTAAAATTTATAATGTACATTCTGCTTACTCATACATTTTAATCAGTCTGATGTTTACAACCTATTTGAAAATCACTTTAGTCAGTGAAATGAACTGACCAAAATAGCAATACAAAGCAAAAAACTTGTGTTCTAAATTTGCACGAACCTAATTCACATACATAGTATCATTTGATTCTTTTTCTACTAAGATTCCAAATTACTTTGTAGCATGATTATTAATTGGATGATCATGATAAAGATCACAAATCGTATATCTCCTTTAGTTTTCTCAGTTATAAAGAATTTTTTCGAAAACAATTTTTCCTTCTACAGATTAGATGAGCTTTTCCAAAATACTGTATTTGTTTCTGACTTGCCAGAAGACTTACAAAAGGTGGCATTCATAAATGTTTCACAGGACAGGGACTAAAAAAACAAGCAAGCAGAAATCAGAAGCGGCAGTCGTGAAAATAAGAAGGCTGATGAACCAAATGTGAATAGATCTATCTGATTCATTTCCTGAAACGTAAATGAGAGGAAGAGATTTATCAACTCACAAATAGTTTCATAAAGAAGATAACAGTCTGCTTAATCAAGCTGGCTTTGTAATAACAGCATTGCCCTGTAGGGGAATACTGAATCTCATGGCAGACAAATAAGTGGGGTTTCAATCTTGAAGTGTTTAAACTTTCTCTCTTGAATCACAGAGAAGTTGATGTAAAGCAGACATGGTATTACAGCTACATATATTAAGTATTTCTTGGGATACAAAATAATTAACAACTGAAGAAATTTTCATCTTTCAAATGACAGATTTCAATCACAACTCAATATGTAATGAATGCCTGGGTAAAGATTCTCATGTCATTTCCTTTAACATTTTTTTTTCTTTCTCAGGAAGGATGAGAAGACATTGTCTGTTCTGCTGTCCTCTAACAGTGGTATGTTACAAGATTTATATGAGGCCAATTAGATTGGAACAAATTTAAATATCCCCATCAGAATTTTAGGCTTATATGATGCATCAATCTTGAAAATGTCAAGGTAAAGAAACCATAAATGTCTGAGAAGATGAATCAAATTTAAAATTCCAATAAAATGGAGCAATTGAAGAGTTAATTTTCAGCTGCTGCTTATGTTAATCTATTTGCTTGCCTACAACAAAGATATTTCCTCAGAGCTCTAAATTTTAACTTCTTTTCAATATCCCTTGTCTGTAAATCAAATGGGGCAAATACATTGATTTTTTGCCATATTTCTTTATCAGATTCCTATATCCAAGCATTTGCTATTTTTCTTGGGTGATAAGAGAATTATTACATTTTAAATTATATTTAAAAATATGAAAAAGAAAGGATAATTGTTGGTAAACTACAAGGTAATCCAACTGCAATTTAATCTGGTCAGGATATCTAAAATAACAATTTTCTCACAGTCTTTTCTAGAAGTCAGAACATTCAGAATTCAGCCAAGACTCGAGAGAAGAAGGTCTAAAAGATGTTGATCATCTACAAGGTTTACTTATGTTTTGGAAGTGATGTATCAGTCTTCCTTCTCAAAGTCCTACTATATTTTTCCTATAGAAATGCTTCAAACTTATGCCAGGTTCACTTTCATTGCACATGCATTTCCTGAATATGATCTTATGCCAGTTCCAGCTGGTATTGCATGATAACTCCTAAAGAGAGCTAAGCTTTCATTTTTAGCAGGCTGCTATATTCAGTCACTCATATGCTGTATGAGAACAAGTCCTGAGGATTTATGATGTCAAATCAAATGCATCTAACAGAATTGAAAAGCTCCCATTCCTGCCCAATTGGAGTATCTTAATGCAACTAATTATGGATATTCACAAGCCACTTTTGAATAATGTATCATTACTGTAGGATTTTTGGTGTGTGCTCAATATAATTTATATAAGTGAATGAAAACAATTGCAAGTTGTACTGTTCAAATAGGAAAAAGCACACAATAAAAAGCAGGACTTTAAGTGACATTTTAGAGAAGAACAGATAGATATTATTCTAAAGATGTTATATCTAAAGAGAGATTAAGTATCTAATATACCACCTGTGTCCTCGTTCTCTGCAAAGCTGCATCAGTTTACCAGAAAATAATAATTTCTTGCATAAAATAACATTTGCACATGATTGCCTAATTTGTTTTCCCAAATGGTTTGTACACAGACAGGCAAGTTCAACTAATAGATGTAAACATATTTTTTCAGACCCTTCATGTTACTATATAATATTTTGCTACTTATACAAAATTCTTTCAAAATGTTTATCACGTGTTCTGTGCACGAAACGTGCACATTACTAGTCAGGAAGAAATGCTTATATTCCAGCTTTAGTATATCTAAGAGTGTAATTGAAACATCTTCTTAATGAAAACAACCAAAATTATAGCACATCTAAGGTACTTAAATCAGTATTTTTAATGCAAGTAATGATACTCTAAAGCAGTTCATATTTGCTAAACTAGAATATCTATACCATCTGTCTGGCTTCACCACGTGGCATTGTATCAATTCCTAATAACCTTTTAAATATTGGTCGTCAGCTTTCTAGGGTGAAATTAGTTCTATGAAGTTAGTGAGTGTAAAGAAGTGAAATGCTGTGGTTTTGGGTTTGAATAACATATTTCCATCTATAAATAATTAATGCTTACTTTATAATTAGACACATTTACTAACATGATTTATAAATCATTATGCAATGTTAGTTCTTAATCATAAGAAAAAGTGGAAAAAATGAACTGAAGAATGTGGTTACTCTTTTATATTTAAGTACTTTAATACCTGCTGCTATTTAAAGTTCAAAACTTACACAAAAGTGAAAAGCAATGTATTTAATAACCACTTTTCTTGAAGGCCATATTCCCCAAAAGCTGCCTTTGAAAACTTACAAGTAGCTGTGCATACATCTGTCTTGACACAGTACTGCTTATAACACTTTATCGTCTGTTAGGAGAGATACTTTAAAAAACAGACAGTGTGTGTGCTATTGATAAATTAACTGCCAATTACAGTATGCTTTCCTTTTAAAGTGTTTTTTAAACAACAATTGTTAAATTGTATTCTCAAATGCATAATATGCAGAGGATAGCAAGACTTGGGGGCGCTGTTTGACAGCCGGGTCAATATGAGCCAGCAGTGCGCCCAGGTAGTCAAGAAGGCCAATGACATCTTGGCCTGTATCAAGAATAGTTTAGCCAACAGGACTAGGGAGGTGATCATCCCCCTGTACTTGGCATTGCTGAGGCTGCACCTCAAGTACTGTGTTCAGTTCTGCCCCCCTCACTTTATAAAGGACATTGAGGTGCTGGACCATGTCCAGTGAAGGGCAACAAGGTTTATGAAAGGTCTGAAAAACATGTCTTATGAGGACATGCTGAGGGAGCTGGGTTTGTGTAGTCTCCAGAAGAGGAGGTTCAGGGCAGACCTCATTGGTCCCTACAACTATCTGAAAGGAGGCTGTAGTGAGGTGGGGACTGGTGTCGTCTGCTGCGCCTGCAGTGAGAGGATCAGAAGAAATGGCCTTAAGCTGAGACAGGGGAGATGCAGATCAGATACCAGAAAAAATGTTTTCACTATTAGGGTGGGCTGCCATTGGAATAGGTTGCCCAGGGAGATGGTGGAGACACCATCCTAGGAGGTGTTTAAGAGGCATCCGGATCTGGCACTGGGTGATATGGTTCAGTGTTTTAGGGGTTACAATGCTAGTTTTGAGTTGACGGTTAGACTTGTTGATCCTAAAGATCTTTTCCAACCTCAATGATTCTACGATTCTATTTGTGGTACAATTACCATATCACTGTTTACGTGGGATATAAAAGCCAAGTATCTTTGAATTATCATTTTGTCATGGTTATCATACAGTAAATATATAAATCTTGTCATGCAGCCATACCTACATATGATCTTCACGATGATTTTTTTTTTTTAAGTGAATCAGTTTTGAAATTTAAGTGTTCTTTCTCTTATAAAACACAGAAAATAGGGATTGGAAGAACTTTGAAGAGGTATTTAGTCCATTACCCCACCTCAATATGAGTCTGTGTGTGTTTAAACTCTCCTGGATATATGTGTATCTCATATGCTATGGAATACTGCTGCTCACGTACCTAAATTTCTTTAGTTCAGAAAGTTTTGGTAGTGTCCAACTGCAAATCTGCTTTTCCACAATTGTAGCCTGTTATATTTTATACTTTCCTTCTTCTTTCACTGGATTCTTTATTCTTCAGATCAAAACAAGCCAGTTCTTTTACATTTGTTTATACTGTTATATTTTAGAGAATTTTGATATTTTAAAAATTTCTTCTGTCCCATTTTCACTGGTCCACACCTTTCTTGAGACCTAATTTCCATAGTGGAGAAACTCTGGGGTACTCATATTGCACAGCTTTAGACACCTAAGGTGGGAGACAGGATCCTTGATTAATTAGCTGTGTCTGACAACCATCTCCAGTGAGCTATCCACAGGCAAAACAGCATAGGTGTGTCCTTCTTTACTAAGACAGTGGGGACATTGGGATTAAAACTTCAGGTACTTACAAAATACTAATTTAATAGGATTGGCTTTCAAACAATAGATAGATGTGAAATAGAAAAATCGCCGTAAGGGTAAGAATTCCTCTTTACCTTTACACACGGGTCTATGATCACTCCATGCAGCAAAAACTTCAGCTATCCTCTGACAGGTGATACTTTTGGAACCTTGAAGCACATAATCTTCATCGCAGGAGAACTGCACTGTTGCTCCCAAGCTAAAATCAAACAATGACATAAAAAGAAGCATTTTTTTACAAATGGATACCAGTAAATTTTTTCCATTCTTTTAGATATGACAGCCCTGACAAACAATACAAACACATAATCCAGTAATTTCTGCTCTCAGTAGTAAAAGGCTGAAGGCTATGTATAAGCCTGACAGTGCACAGCATTCAGCCCTCTCTGGCCTCACTTTGGCATGAGCTGGTTTACCTCTTTTTAACAGTCATTTGGAGGTCAAGTGAAAGAATGGGATAAAGAAGAACTGCAGAGTCCACAGAAAACAGAGGAAGATATAAAAGTGAAAAACTTAAGAAAATAAGAAAGTAAACATAATGTAAAGGCCCTTGCAATGTAAGGCTGAAAAGCTTCTATATGAGACTGAGGAAAAAGAGCCACAAGGTAGATCACAAAGACTATCTGTCTGTGAAACACAATGACTATCTGTCATCAATGTTAAAAGTTATGCACAGCTACTACAGAGACTATACTGTTAGAAAAGTTCAAAAGGTAGCAATTGGGAAGACACAAATATCTTTCTCCAGATTTTCGCAATAATCATCTGCTTTAGAAAGTCATGTTGAGAAAATCTGAACCTCTTTGATTATTAAAAAAAAAAAGGAACGCATGAAGAAAAATAACATGAAAAATATGTTTCCTTTAACTAACCACAGACTGATTTAAAGAGGAAATACTGAGCAGAAAGTACACCATTTACGAATTACATTGAACTCATGGCAACCAAACTGTAACTGGCAAAAATTCCAGAGGTCTAAATGATTATAAAGACCGCACAAGTATGATAATTATTTTTATTGCCTCCAAAAGTATAAATAATGTTCGCAATATGAAGTCCACTTTACTTGTCCAAATCCATTTTGATATTAAACTGATATTTGAGATTATATGATGTAAGCATACTTGACTCATAAACACAGTGTGATTGGGTAATTTACAAAATCTGTGACATATGTTCCATGAATTTGAGACCTACTAAGGGCAGTTAGATAAGCAGATGATAAAACACCAGTCTAAGAAAGAAAATAGAAGAGTCAGAGATCAACTTCCATGGAAGATCAACTAAAAAAGACAATAATAAGAGAGCTTGTTAAGGAAATATTAAAATTAGTCTCTCAGTAACTTAAAAGCCTAGTCTAGATTACCATTTTTTAATATTTTGCTGTCATTACCTATCTATACACTCTTTTAAAAATGGAAAAAAACAGTAATTCTTTCAAAATTGTCTAGTAGGAGAGATCCTTCTTGTTTCTGATGACAATATTTTTTCTCCACCGACTTTAATCTATGACATAAAAGAATTCAGTTCAAAATCCATCTTTCTCTTAAATAAGTTTCATAACTTGAGTACAAGAGGATAAAGTGTCATTTCCCTCCCTAGGAGGGTGGATGAGATACCTGAGGTATCTCATCATTAATATGATGAAGATCAAAAAGGACAGGTAAATTAGTTTTCTTTAGAGCACTTAGCCATGGGTTTGATGAGGGTTTGATGAGGCAGCAATTTCAGCAAGGTTTGTTATTTTTTATTTTCTTTTTCTTCGACAAAATCCCAAGTAATTTGAGTATGGTTTTATAGGACAAGGAGGGGTTCTTGATAGGATAAAATTGATTATATCTATTGCATATCCAGAGGAATTGCAGGAGGACATGTGAGAGACCTGATCACAGCCTGCGTGTATGTTAGAGAACTAAAGACTTGGGAGTGAGAAAATCAGATCATGGAAGCCTGGAGTAGTCTGCCTCTAAACTGTGGGCAAGTATTATTTTAGAGAAAACCGGCTGACTATTCCAAAAACAGAGTGTAGGAACAAGTGACCAAAAACAGTGTGGAAAAATAAGGGCACTTTGATTTTCTGACTTACATTTGACCCAAACTCTTTACCAGATGAACCCTCCTAAACGTGTGACTGTATCTACTTTGTAAATCTCAAGAGAACAGAAGTACGATATAGCTATGAAGTTGTTAACTTTTTTGTATATTATATAGACATACATAAACCAAAAAAAAAAAGAAAAATCTAAAGAACAGCATGAAAATCTGTCACAAATTTCAAAAGCAAAACATATTCAGCAAAAAACCAGTTGTCTGTGGATGCAGCCAAAGGCCAGACTGGGTTCACTTAGTCCAGTATACTAACACTAAAAGTGATGAAAAGTGAATGCTTAGAGAAAATCTTTAGAATACAGTAAACACTTATAGTTCATCTGATCATTATCATATTTCAATCATTTATGATTAATGAACTTTCTGAACCTGAGCTACTAATTTAGTAGTCCCTGGGTGACTAAATTAGACTCTTCGGATGAGCCCCTTGCTAGAGCCAAGACTGGCAAGACACATTAGTATGGAAAAGAGCTTCTGTGGGTATATCAGTCACAAAAGAAAGTTCATATGCAATGTGGGTTCATTAATAAATGGATGAGGCAACTTTGTGGTGCTGAAATCCAATATGGAAAAGCCAGAAATGCTAGATATCTCTTCTGCATGAATTTCTACAGCACATGTGCTCCTAGGCATCTGTATGTACCAACATGATTTGTGAAGAAGAGGGACAGCCAATACTGGGGAGCAACAGGTAAAAGAAGATGGCTGTATTCAAAGGCAGGGAGCCAGAGAACTTTCACCAAAGAGTGCTGAAAAATTTGACTGAGTCTGTGCAAGGTTGGTATCACCTATGAAAAATTATGGCAATGAGAAGTTCCTAGTGACTATAGAAAGGCTATCATTATATGAACTTTTAAGAAAGGCAAGGAGAAGCTAGGAACCTTACATCAATCTTTAGAAAGAACATGTATTCTAGGGAAGCATGAACAGGAAATTAAGAACACTTACACAGATTTACCAAAGATGAACTGTATTTGATCAACTTGCTTGTCTTCTATGCCAAAATGACAGGCTACACGGACCACTGGTAGAGGTATTAGTGCTCAGTGTAACAGCTCTCAACATCAGCAAGGTTTTTGACAGCACCTCTTACAGCAGTGTCTTATGAGAGATGACAAAATATGCACTGAATAGATATATATTCAAAATTGGCCTGGTAGCTGTGATCAAAGGGTAGGAATCAATGGCTTTGTATTCAGCTAGTGGCCAGTAATAAGTTGAGCATTAGGAAATCAATATGAAGTCTTATGCTGTTTAATATTTACATCCTCAACTTTGACAGTGAGACAGAATTTATGGATCCATGGATTTATGGATCATACAAAAGTAGGAAAAGTAGCTGACACACTGAATAGCAGAGCTTCAATCCAGACATCTGACAAAGTTCAGCACTGGGCCAATAGAAATCTCATGAAACTCAACAAGTAGAGGTACAAAGTTCTGCAATATTGATCAGTGATGTGTTCTCATCCTGAATAAAACAAACTATATACTTAACTACCTTAGAAATGGTGGCAGCAGATCAAGTGAAATTATTACTCAGCTGGTGAGGCTGTGTCTGGAATATTAAACCCAATGTTTGGCCTCCCACTTCAAGACAGAAATTGGTAAGAACTCTAGCATTTGGAGGTTAGTCAGAGACTTAGAGCACGTGACCTACAGTAAAATATTGAGGCAGTTAGGTTTAATTAGTCTAACAAAGGGAAAGCTAAGGTACTATCTAATAGCAGACCTTAACCACTTCAAGAATCATTACAAAACAAACTTTTCTAAATGTGGTAAATAATAAGTTGTTCAATTTATTTTGAATTCATGAAAAGCTTTTCCATATATAATATAATGTGCTAAAGCATTTCAGAGCTCCACAATTGAATGCTTGACTCTCAGTAACTTTATCTGCAAATTTCTCTTTCTAATAGGACAAAAGAGGATTGCCATTAGGTTTGAATTTCATGAAAACCTCCAAATTTTGGATATATTTTTGTTAGAAACAAAAAGTATGAGTAAATATTAATAAGGAAGTTAGTTATACAAATTTGTGAAAACTTTGATCTCATATCTCTCTTTAAAGTCTCCATCATCTGCCTCAACCCCTCTTTAAATAACACAAACTGAAAGCAGTAAGGAGTCTAAAATGAAGCTATAGAATCTCTGAAGGATGAGAAAGAGTAAGTTTAAAATTTTGAACTTCATATGAAGTTTATACTGATTAGTATTCTTTTAACAGTTGACATTCATGTAACAAACTACCTCATTTTAGCTTCTTTTCCTCCATTATTTGATATATTCTTTAAATTATTATTAAAAAAGAATCAATTATTCAAGGAATAAAAACCTCAAACTCAGCTATAGTGATAAATTGTATTATTCTGCACTTTGAACTTACATTTCTTGTGTAAATTTTGTGATGAGTAGGTGAGACAGACTAGAAAAACAAGATAATGCAGTTTGGATTTTTGCACTCCTATGCAGGGAATACATCTGAATTTGTACATTGAAGTCCCATATTTTTTCTGTGGAATTAACTGAAAAGTCACATATAAATTAAGTATAGAAAAACATTCTCCAACATTCACATGTTTCTGCTGTATTAACCTATTCTGCTCGTACCTGCAACTGAACAAATTTGAGAATCGGTTTTAGCCATTAAAAAAAAAAAACTACAACCAGAAATAACCAAACATCATCTCTCAAAGTCCATCTCTATCAAATAACTAATTTAATATTATGATACATTTCAATGCTAATGTAAAGAAATAATCAGTATGTCAGCACATCTCATGCTGTAAATAGAGTTTTGTTAAATTTTCAGGATGTTTGGTCTGAAGTTTCAGAGTCTAGGAGCTCACCTTGCATATCTGCAGAGAAGAGTGTGTGATTCAGAGAAGACTTAAGGAAAATTAAGTGTGAAACTTCTAGCCAATCTAGCCAATGAATGTTTCACTTCAAGGTCATTCTTCCAAGGAATAACTACAAATTAATTTATAATATAAAATGAAAGAAGATATTATCATTATTTATACTGTAAGTCAAGCCACTGGTAAAATAAATTGTCTTTAATATAAGCTTCATATTCTTTCTTCTCTCAATAGAATATATATTTTAAAGACTACACTAGCATTTTTGTGACTGTCCAACAGCATTCACTGTTTTGTTGTGATCCAAGTTTGATCAGAATCTCAACTTTAAATACTAGTTGGATCACACTAGAGGTAGAGGGATAGAGATGGGTTCATTCATTCATTTCATGAAGACAGAACTTTGGGATGGCAGTGGAGGAACGTTTGCCTCATAATAAAACACCCGTGCAAGTATAATTCAATCTGGATATGTTTATTCCACTAGAAGCAAAGAAAAAAACCCTTCAAAACTCAAAAACTAAAAAAAGCAACAATATCACATGAAAATTTTTTCTCTTTATCTATTATATCTTTCTTATATTTTCCATAGCGGCATTGGTTTTAAAATTGGGCACGTGTGAAAAAGATGTGTATTTTACTGTATGACAGGTAAAGTAAAATAGGAAACTCTACCATAATACTCACTAGTACATCTAAAATTTTAACAAACTTCTGGGGAAGTTTTCTTACTGAGGTAAAATATTTTTCTCATACAGGAAAAAAAAGCAGCTATGAGTAAGTCTTTTTGACTTTATTTAAACCTGCAAAATCTGTTATGCTCAAATAGGTATCTAGCATCAGAAACAGTCTTTACAACTTCAAAATATAGCGATGGGGAATTTTCACATTAGATATTTTCATTTGAATTTTCATATTAGAAAAAAATAACCAAAGGTAGTTCCAGGTCCCAAAGAATGTCATGAAATGCTGAAGTTTGTCTTAGAGCTTGCATTACAGATTTTCTAAGTCTGTGTAAGAACCATGTAAGAACAAATGAATGTGCTGAGAGTAGGTAGTGTTTATAACCAGAACAGGAGTGAAATTGCAATAAAATGCTTCTAAACCTACACCTTCACTTTGAAGAAAGCTAAAGAGAAGTGACAAGAGCATGATCTTCTCTAAAATAGATTAAATTGTACTGAAATTAGATTTTGATTGATCTTAATAAAGATAGAACTAAACCCTTCTTCAAAATACTGTGTTTTAAAATGAAGGTATTGTAATTGGAATTTTCTCTTTCTTTTCAGAAAGGAAAAGAAGAAAGACAAGCTAAAGTAAAGCTATTTCCTTCATTACAGAGAGAGGGAAAGGTGAAAGCATGCTATTTTTCCCTCTGTCAGATATAAGACGGCATGTACAAGATTTTCTATAGTACTGGATGTTTTTAAACAAATGTAAATGTGTTATTTATTTATTTTAAAGAATTTGTAACATTCTTACTTTGGAGGCTTATGAAGCTACTGAGCAACCATTATGATAGTGGCAAGAATTGAAACCATGTTAACTTAAAAAGGAATTTTAATGAGTCTGCTGAAAATTTTTAGTCTGTTCTTGTTCCTCGTAAGATCTTTTTTCAATGCATGAAGTGTTCAACATGAAATAAATGTGCATGTTTTATTAACATGCACCAATGCTGTTCTTTATAAGTACGAATCTCAACATTCACATTCATAAGCTATGTAACAAGCCTTAGATAGAAAACCACTTTATTTATCCTTGATATATGTAAGAGGAATACAACCCAAAGAGTAATTGTTACCTTTTTCAAAGCCTGTCAACAAAGTGGCTAGAAATTGTGCATATATATGTCTATCTCTTCTCACTATTTCCAAATACAATGTTTTTGTGTTATAAAGAGAGGCTACCACAAAATAGTGGAAAAAAATGTTTTCAACGGAAACTAGTCTTTTTTGGGTTGTTTCTGAGAGCTACACTCAGAATACATCTTCCTGAACTCTGGCAGGCTTGGTGCTCTGATCATTTCCCTGGGAGCCTCTTCCAGTGCACAACCACCCTCTGAGTGAAAAATCTTTTTCTAATATCCAACCTAAACCTCCCCTGACACAAAACTTCGGCCATTCCCTCTGGTCCTGTCACTGGTCACCACAGAGAAGAGATCAGTGCCTGCGCCTCCTCTTCCCCTCAGGAGGAATTTGTAACTGCAATGAAGTCTCCTCTTCTCCAGGCTGAACAGACCAGGTGACCTCAGCCTCTCCTCATATGGCTTCCCCTCAAGGCCCTCCCCATCCTTGTGGCCCTCCTTTGGATGCTCTCTGATAGCCTAATGCCTTTTATATACTGTGGTGCCCAAAACTGCACACAGTACTCAAGGCCACAATGCAGAGCAGAGCGGGACAATAATCATCATATCTTCTTCAAGGTACTGCCCCTCACATAAAATAATCTTGGCAAGTAGGTCTTTCAGTGACCACATGCAGAGATAACACTACAAAAGAATGGGAATCTTCTCTGTCAAAGGCTTTCATTCTCAAGGAGTATTTTTGAAGTTAAAATACAAAACACTGACCTATGTAATGATTCTAGAGAGCATGGCAGATAAACACAGTGAATTTATTTTTATTTATCTGAAAATATTAACAATTTTTTTGCCAGCTGACATCAGAAATGACATTTTTATAAAATTAGTTATAAAGCTTTCTGTGATGCACATCAAACTTTTTCTTTTCTCAAAACTAAAGAAATAGGAAGACTATAATTGAAATTATAACGACTGACTGCTAGCTAGCACATTTACTTAGGATGTCATTTTCAGATTTATGTTTTGCTTGGTTATGAGGAGAAAAAAACAACAAAACACACAGAAGAAGGTACAAGAAATTATGTAAAAGAATGAAGTATCCTAGTTTCTTATATCTTTGTACATCTCCCAGATTACTCTAACAGTTATTATCTTCAAATGCTTAGAAGTGTGCTATGTGATATGTAAAATACAAAATATGTAATAACAAACCTGAATGTAATAAAACCAATTAATTCAAAAATTATCAATCTCCCTTTTAATAATTACTTCCTTTTATTTTTCCTCAATTAGGTGTTTCAAAGAGATTTGTAAACATAATGATAATGTGAAATTAGCATACGATGTGAAACAAGAACATAGATTTATTCTTTTTATACAGTCTAAAGTGTCTATATATCAAATATAAAATAATATGAATGTTAACACTTTTAAAATAAATGTTCAGCTGTTGAAAAAGAAGCAAGTGAGAAACTCAGACAGAAAAGAGATTAAAATGAATTCAAAACATTTTCAAAAAGTCGCTATGTATGTGTCTCTCTACTCAACCACTGCTGATACTGAAAGTAGGAGTCATATGTGTTCACTGAGAAAAAGACAGTAGAATGTTTTGAAAGAGTATTAAAAACCTTTTTTCCTTACAAGATAAGGAACTTGAAAGATAGTTGAGAATAGAGGAGAATATTTAAAAATTAATGAAAAATATAGTCTGCATTAAAGATGCTAAGCCACTACTAGGGAAATACATCTGAATGTATCAAACCCCTGGGTTCCTCAAAAACATACTGCAGAAAACGCAGTACTCTCTATTATAGTCCAATGAATAGTTCTATAATATCTGAAATCACTTCTCTGAGGTTTTATTGTTCTTTTTTTATTGCATTCAGTTTTGCTTTGTCCTTCACAAAAACCTCCATTACCACATGTATGCTCAATATTTGTAAATCTAATAAAGTATTTACAGAGAAAATTACTTCAACTTACCTTCAATCCAATTTTTGCCAGATTATCAGAGACATATGTTCTCTTCCAAGTAGGAATTATATTTCTTTGCATACTAAGTAAAGGCTATATTGCATTACATAATTTTACACAGAACTTCAGATTACTTTTTACTGAGAAGGTCAGTTTTGAAAAAGTACTCAACAACAGTAATACATTTTTAGCAGATACATTTTCCAAGTTCAGTATTAGAGAAATGATACAATGGTAGGGTTTATATTTTACCTAAAATCTGAGCCTATCCGTTTTCCATTTTCTGGTTCTCCAGGATCTGGACACAAATTGGACGCCTGTTTAATACCTCCCTCATTTACTGAAAAAAAAAAACAAAAACAAAAATAAAATAAAGTAAACAAAAAAAGAGATAAAATAATATAGTTTTTACAAAATACAGAGTCAAGCAATTAAAATTGACAAATATGAAAAAGTATATTCTTTCCATTTTAGGTCTTTTAAAACAGATTTTCTACAGAATATGTTCACCAATATAAACTCTAGTTTCAATACATAAGTTTGTCCTCCCTATAAGAAGCAAAGCATGTATTTTCTGATTTTTTCCAAAAATCCCCACAGTTTTTTAATAAGATGTATTAATCAGCTATTTTTTTTTGTTTGTAATATTATTGAGTCCATATAGAAACTTATTGCTATTTCCTTAGAAATATTAACATTTAAAGGAGTGTTTATCAGGTTTAGGGATCTAAGATTTTATTCTGAATATACACTCATAAATGTCATCTCCACTAAGAGTTGACCTTTTCTCCTTGAATTATAATAAAACTTGAATGTTTAAGCTCCTGCTGAGAGAATTGTCCTTAATCAGTATTGAAAATGTATATATTCCCAAAATATGGTGATCTGAAGGTAAACTCAAAATGCCAGTTTGATTTGCATACATTTATCTTACAATAAACTAAAACAGATCTTCAGAGATAAACTTCCTGTGAGCCATTCTGTGTGTTTTTCTGAAAATTTGTATGTAGCAACCTAACCCTCAGCATATCCCTCAACATATTCACCTACCGCTTCACTTATTTTTTTTTCTTTGAATTATATACTTTCTTGTAATTTTTACAGCTTGCAAAAGTATATCTTATAAAAATAATTTTAGGTCAAAATAATTCTACTAACTTTTGCACTTAATTTTTGAAGTTCATTGAACCCATAAGTAGCAGAGTTCAAAAAAGCCAAAAAGTTAGCAAAGGAGGTTAGTCTGCTATTACTTAGTAAACTCATAGCCTGATAGAAGAATATTAAAAAAAAAATACAAATACAAATTTACATGAAGCCAAGAGATTTATATTAGGCAGAAAGATTTTAACATTTATTCATTTTTATTACTGAGGAACTAGACCAATGGATTTGCAGTATTAGATTTTTACTTTTCTTTAAGGAAAAAGTTTGCATATAATTAGGGTAACCACATTACATTGTAAATAGAATGCACATGAATAGAATAATATATATTTCTAAAGGGTGTTCATTAAATTTCAGCTTTTAATGAAGAAGAAAATAATTCAGAATACTTGGGTGTTTTCCCTTCCTTGAGATTTGTTTTACACACACAGAGAAAGGGAAAAATTGGTTTAGTAACCCTGAGAAAGCCAAAGGCCAAATGCAAATGTTTCAGAGGCTTAAAAAGAAAACATCTCACATTAGCACGCTGCTCAAAAAACCTATCAAGCTCAGCCCTTGTCAGCTGGATCCATAGTATTTACCCTCCTGTGTCCCAAAATACCTGTAAGATGTTCCAGGTTGCTCTAGCAGCAAACCAAGACAATCTCTGTTCATCTCTATGTTCAGGGGACTTCGGGGACAGGACAATTTTTCCTCCTGGTTCGGGGTTTCAGGTTTCAATCTTTTCCTCCCCCAATACTTGTACATGTGATGAAAGCATATTAGCTAGAGAAACTCAAGTTCATGCTAGTGTTGGAATATATATCTATCTCTGACAACTACAATTGAAAAAACTGTATTTCACAAGGCCATCTCGTTGGATAAGCATTTAGAATTAACTGAAATATCTTTGGAAATATCTGAGTGGTTCATTATGAGACATGAGAAATCCAGAATCATCATAAGTAGTCTGAATATACAGAGAAGACATTTCTGACTTTAAATATATATTAAAACTGTAGTTAGGAAATTATTCCTGATGCCTGATAATAATATTATAGAAATTATAATGGTGCCATTTGGCCATGCATCATATAACAATGCACACCAAAGAAATTCTTTACTATAAAAATAGTAAATAAAATAAAAACAGATTTATTTCTATTTATTATAATTCATGTTTTCATATTTCAAATAAATATTTTATATTTGGACATTATGTTCCCCCATACACAGGTGCTAGAGGAAATATTAATATAAAAAAGAATATTCTACTGGATTTCAAGGTATTATTATACGCTATTATACACTATTATACGCTTCAATTTCTATAAAAAATTGAAGCTTGAAAATCCTATTTTTTTTAATATCTTTTGTATAAAGTTTCATTCCTAGAAATACTCTACAAAATAGATTTTTAAATTATAAGATGTGGATTTGTTAATATTAATAAATAAAAATATAAAGGCTTATGTTAAAGAAAATCACAAAATAATTAAATTCTAAAAATAAGACATATACTACAGCAAAAATACAGAAAAAAATGAATAGGTAGAAGTCATTAAACAAATTTCTGATTTGATCCCAATTCTAAAATGCATTTACAAAATTTTAAAACCAATCTGATTTCTGTTAAGTACTTAGTAAAAAATAACTGCATATTTTAGGATTTTTGTATTGATGTTACTTTTACAGACATAATGCTTGATTTTTCAGTCTACAGCTCCATGTAATTCCACGGATATATGTTTTACACCCCAGATGCTTATATGACAATAAGCAAAGAAAGGGTTTCCTGTAGTAAATTAAAGGCATCTTGGGAAAGAACTCATTGATGGCCTGGTTAAGAAACTGGGAGCAAGAAATTCCAGAGTACTAATCCTGGTTGAATTAGTTCCCCAATGAATTCATTTGGTAATGTCAACACTTTTAAATTAGGTTGATGCATACTTTTTTCAAAGTGTATCATCATGTCAAATATCACCATTCTGGCTTTCCTCTGTGCAAATCACCTATGCATTAGTATTGAATGTCATATAACATTGAAAAAAAAGATGTAAAATAATGAAAGGACATACAGATGAGAATGCTAGATGAAAATTTCTAAAGACATTGCTAATATAAGGCATAATGTAAAATAAGTCACTTATCCTTATCTTATTTCCACTAACAGTCGAAGGATGGACGTTGTTTTTTTTAAAGGACCTTATCTGTCACTGTAATGCAAGTACACACTCAGTTGAGACCACACTGCAAAAATTGTCTAGTCAACAGCCAAATGCATAACTGTCTTATGAAATACTGTTCTTCAATTCCTCAGCTACCAAAGTGACTAGCTAACTAAATGCTAGATTACAATATAAAATCTTAGTTATCTATTTATGACAAGATTATGATGACTAAAGGTACCAATCACCAAGATTTTCACTGTCACTTATTATTGACTCATAAAAGTAATCTATTCTGCATAATCACTAAAAAAGATAAAGAAGTTTTCAGCTTTACATAGAACATCATAACATATGAAATTATATAAACACCTTCAAAAATATATTGACAAATTTCATCACTAATTTCATAACAATCAACTTTGGATATCAAAAGTTTCTTGCAATTCATTATAAATATGGAATTTCTTTTAAAGTTTATATAGAAGAAAATGTAAGGATTAGTGCAAAATACATGTATAGAGAAACAGTCTCCTTTATCATCCATTGTATTATTATCATTTTTAACTATAAAAACACAGATGGGCCACCAGACAGAGACCTCAGTGATGTACTTTATAAACACTACTGTAATTATCTTACTGTTATTTCTTGTTGTAAAATCACTCTACTTTCCATTCACACAGTACTCATAAAAAGAATATTTTTTTTAAATATCTCCATACAATTTTTTTAAAAAAACAGAAATGCCTTACAGAACTATTTAGGTGATGCAGTTTACAGAAAAGTTGAATATGTCAATACGTTACATTACAAAAATTGAGTAGAAGTGTGTTTTGCTTTGTTTTTCTGACTTGGTAAATGTTAAAGGGTCTTGCTGCTTGAAGACATCTTTCTATAAAAAAAGAAATCGTATCTAATACATTGACAGTTTAAAATCTAACATCGAAAATTAAAACCTATGCTGATGTGTCCTGCTAAATTCTTGAAACTGAATCCATCACTGACAGTGTTTAACAAAAAAATTAATGCAAACATGTCCAACCTAAGGTGCTTCAAAAAAAAGTTCTTTCACTCCTGTGAAGAGTAATGAAATGTAGTATAATCAGACATAGGCTAAACATTGTCCATTTTATTTACTTCTAATATTTAAAATGTGGTTCTATTCCAAAAAGAAACTCTATAAAAATGGCACATTCTTTTACAAAAGTATCCTTTTAATGTATTTAGTGATACACCTGTTTAATTTGTGCTAGAAAGTCACCTGATTCACTTTCTAATTTCTCTAATTAAAATTGAAGGTACTAAGCATCTCCAGAATTTTAAAAATTTTGGTTAATCTGTTAAAAATGCCAAACTTAATGACTTTTTAAAAAAAAAAATTCAAAGAGTGACCTCATATGTGTCTTTTGAAAAAAAATATGTGGTTGTGCATCTGTAAATGAGGATAGGCTTTGGTTTGTACAGCCTTATGATGCTAATGTTCAATTAAAATAACAGATCTCCTGTTCACAGGAGCTAAATTTACAGCTGACACCTAGGAGGCTGAATATTTGTTTCCTTATAAATATTGTAAATTTAGTTTGAAAAGACTGACAAAACAACATGTCCTTCTACAATGCCAGATTTATAGAAAGACTGCCTTTAGAGTAGAACCATATTTAAAAATTCACCATGCAGACTGGAGAAACCAGTTCTATTAGAAGAAATACATAAATAATTTTGAAAACACACAAACAACACAGCACAAACTTCACTCTTGCACTAGAAAAAAGTAACAAAAAAGGAGTACACTCACAGATAGAAAACTTGTTGCTGTTGTCTTTCCCTGGAAACAATTTAAATCCTCTAGATTTAAAATCTATGGCCTTTTTCACTAGTTAAAAAAAAACAAACAAAAAACAAAAACATGTATCAGGTAATACAGTCTAAAATATTTCATTTCATTTGACAAATTTTATCATGGAAGTATATTCAAATTAGAGTACTGGCTACCTAACAAGTTCAGATTGTGTATTTTTGGTGGGAAACAATTTACGAAAATAAATATTGAGACCAATTTGTATACTTGAGAAAGGAAAGAAATGAGATTCGCAACTTATTTTTCTCCTCCATAACTAAGAAAAAAAAAGTATGGCCAAAAGTGTTTATTTCCATGGACCATATAATTGTGTAAAACATTGCCACACATTTATGGAACCTGGAAAATGAAAAGAATTAGAATATGTTTGCTCTAAACCACTGGTTTCTTCTGTGTTGAGAAAATGTAGTTACTTATCCCTTGCTTTCTCCATTGAGAAAAAAAAATGAAGAAAAAAGATATTTGAATACAAAAAATAAAATACAGCTTATTGTTGTTCTGTTGGTACTGCAGCTGGTCTTCTTTCTACCTTAAAAATTGTTATTTTCAAAGTGTGATATGGAAGGTAGCTGGCTCCCTCCTGTCCCCCAAGCCCACAGCTCATCTGTTTCTGTAAAAGTCATTATTTTTGTCTGGCTTTATGATAAAGATAGTTAATCCAGGCAAACCTTGTGGCCTCAACATACCTTTGAAAGAAAACAACCAATAAAAAGAGAATAAACCCAAAACTTATCATATATCATCAATGTACGCAAGAATAAAGCAAAAGCACCACAAGAAACTTTCATTTTCAGTCATTAAACTAAGGGCCTCTTATCTCTAATACACTTGGCCTGTGAGCAATGAGCCATACACTAAAATGGACCTCCTAAAGTACTTTAAATTTTTAAGTATAGGTTAATTTAGGTACAGTGTATTTGACTGGCTTTATAGAATACATATATTTAAAAACTATACGGAAGAAGATGTTCTCTATTAACTACAAACAAATACTGCCAATGAAGACAGCATAGATTAAAGGAACTAGGTCTGGCAGAAGTTAACATGAGAAGATAGACTGTACATCATCAAAGAATTTTTCATACCCATTAACTTCTTACAGAAAATTGATGGATATTCAAAGAACCATGATGTGAGGCATAAATACTAAAGTAGAAAAATATTATTATCTTTTTATAAATAAATTAATCATTACCATACACAAGAGCAGAACAGGATTTTGGAGAAGCAGCATACTACTAAGAAAGACAATTTATGGGATAGATACAGGATGAGCTTATAAATATTTTTACACTTCTGATGGAAGAGACCGTATTTTCTTATAAATACAGAGATGCTACTATCTCGAGAGGCAAAATGTAAATTTACTTGTGTATTATCATGATGTAACTTATAAACATTGATAATGGTTCTGGGAAATACATTATTTGCAGAAGCAGAACTTATCTGTTGCACAAAATACTAAATTATTTTTAATCCTTAACAGCAGAGGCCGTCTTCCCCCTCCAAGTCCTGTGGAAGTCATGGGCCCTAGAACTGTACCTTCCCACAGCAGAGCCAAACTGGAATAACAGCAATGCTCTCTAGCCATTGTCTGAGCTTTCTAAAATGCAATGAATGCTGGAGTACAGCTGTAATCTTCTTTTGGCTTTGAGGATCAATATAAAATAACTCCTCATAAATCAGAAGATAGGCTGAGTTATTCTTCCAGTACCTAAGTAAAATGGGAGTGGGCTTCAATGAATGATCTCAGGTGCTGGGACGGGTTTAAATACTCTCTCCCTTATTTTCAGAAATCATCATAAGAACAAATGGAAAAAGGAAGACTACTTTGTATTTTTTTGTTTGTTTCTACTCATTCTCAAACACCTGAATGGCATATCCACAGTTTATGTACACAAGAAGAGTTCATAAGATATAAGGTGGAACTCAAAATAGTTACAGGAGTATCTTGGTGAAGACATTTAAACACACCAGAGATTTTAATAATAATTTGCATCACTTTGCCAAGGCTATTAAATACAACTAGGAAAGCAAGCAATTCCAGTTCTCTGAAGAATCTTTACACTACAAGAGAAGAATTTTACTTTTAACTGGAGTTTGTATGTTGATCTATGGAACAGTAGTTTCTGAATACACTGAAGGAGTAGTTATAGAAATTTATTTGGTCCAAACCTGCCATCACTAAACTCTGTGTTGGGCTGCATATGCATGTACATACATAAAAACAACCCCACCATCACAAAAAAAAATCCCCTACCCAATAAATATTTTATACTTGGCAAAAGAAGCATTATTTTGCACATCATACCCATGGCTGTAAGTACTGAATGTGGATTTCATTTCTCAGAAGTCTCAGAGGAGGGGTTCATGACAGAAAACAGAACAGTTGTACATTCTAAGGTAATCCACAAAGAGAAACAGACACTTTAAGAATTCAATTCATCTGGCCTTAAGATCCCTATTTTTGCACGAGATGAGTTTATATGCCCATTTGTCTCAAAATAAATACTTGAGATGTAATAATGCTGCAAATAGCTAAATATGGTATGATTAGGATGTTCTCATACTTCTGAACAGAAGAAAATAGATTACACCAAAAAAGTAGGATACTCCTGTGGAGGCATACTAATGTAATAGGAAGATAGGTATAACATTCTCCAATACTTTGGGGAATAATATTTCATAACTTAAACTAATTGTGCGCCTAAAGCTTCCTTTATGTCCTGTCCTTCAGTTTATTTCAGAATCAATCAAAACACAAAATTTAGATCAAGAAAATAAAAATGCTCAGAGATCAAACTGAGTTAAATTCTATTTGCAGTAGAATAAATCTTCAGTATCACTTTCATGTCATTAACTATGTGACTGTAAAGACCATAAAAGTATATTTTAAAAATAATATAAATTGATAAAAACCTATCTGACATAACCATCTATCCAGTGTATAATGCAAGGAGAAGCTTAAAATGTTTTTTTAAGACTACTTTAAATACATATGGCTTTTAGGTTGGTTGGGTTCTTTGCTTTAAATTTATAGATAAAGACAGCAAGTTTGTTTCTTTTTATTGTTTATTTTTGGAGGAGAAAGAACACTGGTGCACATCTCCTATCCAAATACATCTCTGACAATCCTGAATGTATTTTTGACTATGTGACCTGATGAAACATAAACAGTAACATCAGAACTGTGTAACACCAAATCAGAGATTACATCAAAAAACCCTGAAAACCTAAAAATAATTTAGCCATCCACTTCTGCTCAACACTGCTCATGTTGGGTTTTTTCCCCAGTTTAAGTCACTTTAATACAAATAGAAAATTAGAATGATAGAATCATATGATGGTTTGGGTTGGAAGGGACCTTAAAGACCAACTCATTGCAACCCTTCCTGCCATGAGCAGGGACACCTTCCACTAAAACAGTTTGCTGAAAGCCTTATCCAGCCTGGCCTTAAACACTTCCAGCAATGGGGCATCCACAGCTTCTCTGGGAAACCTGTTCAAGTACTTCACCACGCTCACAGTAAAGAACTTCTTCCTAATATCCAATCTAAACATACCCTCCTTCAGCTTAAAGCCATTCCCCCTTGACCTGTCACTGCATGCCCTTATAAAAAGTCCCTCTCCCTTGTAGGCCCCCTTCAGGTACTGGAAGGTGCTCCAAGGTCTCTCCGAAGCCTTCACTTCTTCATACTGAGCAGCCCCAACTCACTCCGTCTGTAACGTTTTCTAAAGTTAGAAGGCCTAATGTTTTCTGTAAATAAGAAAAACAGAACTGAACACTTTATTGAGGGGGAAAGGATATGAACAATCCTCGTAATGAAAAAAGTCCAGGTAAGAAGTTTTGCATGACAGATGTGTGTATCAATATTCAGTCAATAGTCAAACCAGAGTCATGTACATTTTTCAAGTGGCCAATTTATATGTAAAGTGAAATGTATTCAGAATTATTTTGTTGAGGTTTTTGACCAAAATTGTCTCTCATGTAAGATAAGGGAGATTCAAACACTTACAGGCAAAGTTTTAGACACAGATAAAAAATAAAATATTTTCTCATTTTTTTAATAAAAAGGTTGTGCAATTATGTATATTTATGCATATTCCTAAACATAAATACTACATACAAACACTTGTGAGAGATGACTAATCCAGACAAGTATCACATTTTCATATCCTCTTCAGGATAGATATTGCACTAAAAAAGGACCTCAGGTAAATAAGTTTTAAGCATATATATAATAAAAAAAAGATAGGTGTATAATTCGATTAACAACCTTGAGTGCAGCAAGCTCTCATATACTAGAAAAAAAAATAATTTTGAATGATTGTTCAGTTGACACAGTTTTGGTTCCATTGAAAAAGTGTATCATGAGGCCTACATTAGACATAAATTTCAGGAAGCAAAATTTTCTTCTACAGTATAGAAGCATCAGGGTATAGAGCCATGTGAAAGATATTCATTTAAAACACTGTCAACTTACAAATTCTTGCTTTTATTTTGTAGAGGAATTTTCCAGCTTGTCATGTCTACATTCTGTAAATTTTCAAATCATGTAAAAATTATATTTAAAATGCTGAGGGCTAAAATAGCATTGTTTTATGCAAAATTGGCACTTGGGTTGCATTACTATAAGTAACTCTACAGAGTATTAACCAGATAAACTTGGGTCTCATCTGACCTTATATATTTATTTCCTTTGGTGTAGCTCACTGTAGTTCAAGAACTGAAATAGCCTTTCTCTTCTCCAGAACTGTTCTCACTTTATATTCACTACCACTCAGCTAGTGGAGACAGAGAACAATATCATAATATCAAAGCCACTATGTCAAGCCACTATTTCAAGCCCTATTTAATTGACATCTGCAAAAATACAATGCTTTGTGAAGAAAAGGCAGTAGATGGTTTATTTGACTGTGCCTAAATTTTTTTTGCATATCCATCTTTTTGCCTCCTCATAATCTTTGTATTGCTCTGTTTCTCATCTTTGACAATTTTTTAAAATCAACTGCAA